ACACACACACATTCATACAGCACTCTACTACTACACACACATTCATAAAGCAATCTACTAATACACACACACCTACAGCAATCTACTAGACACACACATTCATACAGCACACTACTATACACACACACACACAACGCCCACCCACACACACTCATACATCACTCTAGTACACACACACACACAAACACAAACACACACACAGATGCATGCACACACTCACACATTCACTTCATTTGTCCTGTTCTGGCTTCATGTACTATTTTGTAAAACAAAGTAAAACATAGACTGGCGAAAAGTGTCGCCTTCTAAAACTACAGGCTGCTACAGACAGTTACAGAAAGCTACAAACAGCCACAGACAATTACAAACAGTTAAAGACAGCTATAGAGAGCCACAGACAGCTACAGTCACAAAAAGCTACAGACAGTTACAGACAGACAACAGACAGCTACAGACATCCACAGACAACTACTGACAGCAAGAGGCAGCTACAGACAGCTACAGACAGTCACAGACAGATACAGACAGCTAAAGACAGACACAGACAACTACTGACAGCTAGTGACAGCTACAGACAGCTACAGACAGTCACAGACAGTCACAGACAGTCACAGACAGATATAGACAGCCACAGACATTCATAGACAGATACAGACAGCCACAGACAACTACTGACAGCTAGAGTCAGTTACAGACAGCAACGGACAGTCACAGACAGCTACAGACAGCCACAGACAACTACTGACAGCCAGAGACAGTCACAGACAGCTACAGACAACCACAGACAACTACTGACAGCTAGAGACAGCTACATACAGCTACAGACAGTCACAGACAGTTGCAGACAGCCACAGACAGTCACAGACAGCTACAGACAGCCACAGACAACTACTGACAGCTAAAGACAGCTACAGACAGCCACAGACATTCACAGACAGCCACAGACAGCTACAAAAAGTCACAGCCAGTCACAGTCAGTCACAGACAGCAACAGACAATCACAGACAGTCACAGACAGCTACAGACAGCCACAGACAGCTACAGACATCTACAGACAGTCACAGACAGCTACAGACAGCCACAGACAGCTACAGACAGTCACAGACAGTCACAGACAGCCACAGACATCTCCAGACAGTCACAGACAGCTACAGATAGCCACAAAGAGCCAATGACATCTCCAGACAGTCACAGACAGCCACAGACAGCTACAGAAAGCTACAAAAAGTTACAGACAGTCACAGTCAGTCACAGACAGCTACAACAATCACAGACAGTCACAGTCAGTCACAGACAGCTACAGACAGCCACAGACAGCTACAGACAGTCACAGACAGCCACAGACA